ATCAGCATTACAATTGAGTAATCATATTGCATTTTACAATTAATAAAGCCACCGTGTTTCTCTATGACCATGCATTACTGACTGAAAATGATGATCAGTTCTGTGTTCTATCTTATGAATAGAAGAAATATTCTTTACTGTGAATTTATGTGTATAAATATTTCCTGTGCAATATGCCTCTCTCACCTGTTGCCTGCTTGTTTTTGTAGTTGAAGTACTCATAATAGAAATATCTTCTAACATCTGAGGGTCCAATTTTCCAGTAACTATTAAGCTAAATATAACTTGTCAAAAGCAAATAAAATACACAATTGGTTGTGTATTTAAAGAAACCTGGTAAACAACAGAACTGTCAACAATCTCTGTTGACTCAGCCATGTGAATCACTCACCTACTGCAAAGAAGATACTGAGTTTTCCCCTTCACCAGCATTACTATGTTATATTTGCATATTAATGATGCACCTACAGAACTTTTTAGTGTCAGCAACGGGACCCTTCGTTCCTTCGAAATCAAACAGAACAAGTTTCAGCCAGAGTACTACATAGTTCCATACAGGTAACTAATTCTTTGAAATTCTATTATGCTGAACTTGATAGAATGTAACAATACATGGGCTATTAATTACCTTAAGGAAAACCCAGCCGAGGTTGTGCATATTAATTTTCCCATAAAGGCAGGCCATAATGCAGGAGGAAATTAGGCATTTGATATAACTACTGAATGTGAAGATCATATATGAATTCAATCATTCAGTTTTGCAACAACAACAACAAGGCAATTTTACAGGAAATAAAAATGTTAAAGGTTATTTTTAAAAAACACTACCTGTGCAAAGCATTCAAATGGTGTGCCTTCCAAAGCACACTGTGGCAAACAAAGCACTTTTTCTGCAAGTCTTAAAGAAGCGTCTCTGGAAGGCTGGGGACAGCAGCTTTGAAGGCTTTATCTCATACAGTAGTCTCTGTGAATGTGTGATGCACAGCTGCTTCACTTTTCTGGTAGTCCCAGTGGGAGTAGAACCTGTCTGTGCACATGCATGTGGAGACAACCGGGAAAAGTCTTTGAATCAGTGACACACTAAGCTTTCTGGAGGATGCAACTGCTTTAAGACTATGAGGAAGTGAGCTCCGATTGTACTAATGTACCCTAGAAAACGTCCTTTGGAATGCTTTCTGCAGCTGTACTAATTATGAATTGCTTCATTATCACAAGGAACAGTAAAAAAAAAAATTGAAAATAACCAAAAAGATTCTTGGATACTAAGTTAATTTTTTAATATTGAGATCACCACCTGAGTCCTACCTGACTCATTCTTGTCCCTTCTTTGCTTGATATATAACCATAGTTCTGCCGTGCTATATAATGCTAGGATGGCAGGGATATAAAAAGATATAAACTTAAAATATAAAGCACAAAACTTAATATAAACAAATAACTCATACCATGGCTTAACTGTTCCCATAATCCATTATAATTGGATTTCTACAGCAGATCTCTCAACCTTATTTCAGCCTATTGTACAGTAGTGTTTTGTGAATCCAGCCAATACAGCCTCCTTTTGACTTTCATGCTTTCTTCTACTGAGCATGGCTCTTTCAGGTAGATATCTCCTTTCTATTGTCTGAAGATACTTTCACGGAGCCATTCAGGCAATTACTGAGATTTCTATTTGGTAGAGGAGAGATAAACATGTGAAAGAGTGGAGAAACCTCATCCTCCCTTCTGTTGCTTCGGACAAAAGATTTATGCCCATTTTATCCACAGGAACTTAAAAAGCAGATTGTAAACAATTCTAAAAATCAGAAGATACGGGGCAAGGAAGGTAAACATGGGAAAAAATGGAACAGGATACTATTTTGGAGATTGATGTTGTGGTACAAAAATGGGGCTGAACTTCAGCCAGCCCAATTTGCTATTCTGACTGAACATCCATACAACTAGCTCTGATGTTCAGTCAGTGGAAACTGAGCTCCCTATATGTGGAAGAATGATAATGTTATCTAGTCCAACATCACACTTCTCAAAACTATTTGCTGCTACCTAAACATGCAACAGCTGGTCTGTAAATACTTAATAAGGAAAAAAATAAAGATGTGCCACTGGGTAAATTTAGGAGTCTGTACATGTCAAGCGTGGTCAGATAGCACAAAAGGTTCAGATCAATCTCCTATATCGATTCTCTGCCATCTGTTATGATTGCAACAAATCACCTAACCAGTATGCCAGCTGTCTAAAGCAACTGATTTTTCAAAGCATTTTGTCTCTAGATTCCATATGAACATATCAGAAATGTTTTCAAAATTAAAACTGACCACTTACAGCAACAATGAACTACAAGATCTGAAAACAGATAACAAACAAGGAAAAAACCCAAAACCAACTTTTTTAGAATTGATCTTTTAAAGTTCACTATGTTTTTCCAAGAGTAACAGAAAGGTATTTTAATGCATGGAAAGAAATAATCCAATAAAGTTGCATAATACTTGCTAATTAAACAACTAAATACTATGAATTCCACTTACAGAGACAAAATAGATGATACATAGAAATACCATATTTTACTTAATGGATAATTTTTTTATGATTACTGATAATTGACAACAATAATTTAACGAGAAAAGCTACAGCTCAAATCATGAAGCCAACAAATCTCAAATGTATAAAAAATTAATGACATAATGAAAAGCAGATATTGTCAGCTTATTAAAAATCATCCTAAACGTTTTAGACACACAAAAATACATAAATCAAGATAAAAACGTTTTAAATAAATATTTTTAAATATCTAAGTGCAGAGAATTTTGGAAGATATTACCAATTGAAAATGTAAATATTAGTATTTTATTAGAATTAATTTATTATTAGAATATTAGAACTTCTGGCAATTTGCTAGTAGATACTTTTTACTACTGATTTTAACTATCATTCAGACATTAAAACAATATACGTATTAGTCTCATAACTGAATTTAAATCACATTATGAACATTTTAAATGTGTGTTCTGCAATCAAAGTGCTAAACAATCCCCACTAACCATTCCATTTTGCTGTTGGAAGTTAATGGGGTTTGTAAACCTACCCTGCTTCCCCTCTGTGAGGGGAAGTCAATTATACTGAGCCACAATTTCCTTAACTGCAGTTGGTTTAAAAAGCGCATACAAACTGCACTAAGCCATAAACAATAGTTTATAAAGCATTCACATTGCCTGAGTACACCCAAAATGCTAAACCAAAACCAATTAAACATGCTAAACCAAAACCAATCAAACCAGATTATGGCTTACAACACTCTTTGTCAATATATCTTAACTTTCACAGTGTCAAAGGCAACAGTGGGCAGAATGCTGCACCAATCAATGAACCTAAAAAAAGAAAAAAACTACTAAGAGCCAAATTCTTCCTCAGTTACAGGGCCACAGGATGACCTTGAGCAAATAACTTATTCAAATGATTTCCTATTTGCATTTTGGCACAAGAATGTCTATAATTATGGTTACATATTATCAGAATGTTTATGTATACTACTGTATATACCTACTATAATATGAGGTACATTATGCCCCCCCCATCTAAAGGGAAAAATTCCATTACTGTACATAATATATGTTAGCTGCCTCCCTCTTAAATTCACAACAGTCCCATGGGGTAGGTAGGCAACTGCTACAGCTAAGAGACTTAACCAGTGAATCTCTCTTTTTTAATTTAATATTTTTATTTAACTTCCTTAACACACACAATTGACAAAACAATCTTTAAACTGAAAGGAAAAAAAAGAAACCAAAACAGAGGAAAAAAATTAGAAAAGAGACTACCTCAAACAAAGAATATAAACTAAGAAAAGAGGGGGAAAAGAAAAGAAAAAGAATCTACTTTATATTTTATACTTATCAATAGTCACTGGTCTATTAATAAATAGAGCGAATCTCAGAAGTGAGAAGGGATTTAAACCTGGATTCCCCCAAACTAATACTATTTATTTATATACAGCCACATTCCACACAGACTCATAACACTACCCAATAAAAAACAAAATACCTGTAACAAAAATACAGAAATAATTCCAGAAATAATAATCCTTAAAACTGTCCAACCCGTTCACAAATATTGAAATCAAAAACATAGTCATAGATATATGGGTGACAAATCTTAATTAAATGCCCTTGAGGTTTGTGTCAGGAGTGAAGACTTCTGTGGAAGGTTGTTCCACAGGTTAAGCACCACCACTGAGAAGCACAATGATCTTGCTCTGTCCCGGATTTCACATGGGGAAATCCCCTGGATGGCTCAGCATCCCAACCTGAGAAACATATCCTTGTATGTCATGTTGACTACACCTGATTCTCAATGAAGGTGTAGTTCTTTGTCATGCACAGTGCAGCCATAAAAGGAGCTAGTATGTAATCTGTACCTGGATGCCACATTCCAAGAAAAAACCTAAAATGTCATTTATTTCACAGGTCGTTTGTGAGACAAGTATAAGTTCTTAAGGCAATCCCTGGGAGCTTCTTCTAAAGCAAGTACATATCCATGAAAGATTTCTACCTCTCTAACAGGCTGCCTACGGAGTAAGTTTCTTTAAACTAGATATATTTATGGGGGGAAATCCAGGACAATGCTGAACTGCAACTTCCATCAGCATGACCCATGAAGGTGGGGATGGAAGTCCCCTCCTTGGGAAACCTTTAGTACAAAACTCCGAGGAAGTGAGAGGACCGGAGCGGGCAACCAAACGTGCAACCTGAAATTAAATGAGAAACAGGGCAGGTCGGTCAGGAAGAGAAACCGCTCAATTCATTCCCACAGTTGGAAGCTGTGCGGGAAAATCGTAGCGGAGAAGTAAAGCAGCTTTGCGGGGCCAGGGGAAAACGGGGGGCGCGTTCCAGCCAAAGCGGGGTCGCTTTTCTCGGTGGGGGGACGACTTTTTCAAGCGGGGCTGGCGCCCTTGGCTCGGAGACTGAGCTCCGAAGCTCCGGCGGATCCCGGAGACGGTCTCTCACCTTCCATACGCTCAAAGCGAGGCGGCTGTTGCCCTTCCTGCCTTCTCCCTCCTCCACCCCTCGCGCGGGGCACCTCGCGGCCTTTCCGCGGCTGGGGAGCTCAGCAACGCGACCTCGAGGACTCCTCCCCGACAGGCTGGGCCTGCAAAACACCCGGCCGGTTGCCCCGCAGAAGGGCGGGAGTACAGGCATAACGTTACGGGCTGCCGGGGCGGCCCGGTCCCGCCTCCTCCCCGCCGCCGATGACAATCCGAGGTCTCGCCTGGGCCCCCACTCCGCTCCCGCCCCCCCGGGCTCGGTGCGGGAAGTGCGCGGCCTCCCTCGCGCCTGTCCCGTCTCCTCCGTCCGTCCCCGCGGCCCCGGGAGCGGCCCCGTAGAGGCCGCGGCGGCCTTCGGCGTCCACGCGCCTCTCCCGCGGCCGTCCGCCGGGAGGGGCAGGGCAGGGGCGGTCCGCGGAGGCGAGGGGGTCGCGTCAGCCGCGGGAGGCGGAGGTGCGGACGTCAGGTGCTGGCCGCGGCGGCGTCTGGGGTCCGCTGCTGCCGCGGGTGCCTTACCTGCCTCGGTTTCGCCATTCCTGCTCATGCGAAAGGGGGACGGGCCTGGGCGTAGAAAAAGTACGGGCTGCGGCGCCTCTGGAGCACTCTGCACTTGCTCAAAGGCACTTTAGAACTGCAGCGGCAAGGCTGAGAGCCCTGGCTCAGCCCTCCGGCTGAGCCCTGCTTGCCATACCTTCTCACAACACGGAAGGCGCGCTTAAATGGCAGTCCTTTCTTGTAACTGGCGTGAACGAAGCAGGAACAAGGACTCTGGACTAGGAAATCAGCAGCGGGGATGGACATCTGAAGGAGTAAAACTAATGCTAACACCTGTACCCAAACCTGTAAAAACGCAAGTTAGCCTCTCCATTAGCTTGCCTGTACAGGCACAGAAAGTTGCAGACACCAGCTCCCGTGTTATTGCAACAATACTAGTGTTTTTAAATGCGAAAATGGGAAGTAAGCACAAAAGCTGACTTTTGCAGATACTCGCTTTGCTAATTGTGTATTTTACACTGTAAGCATAAATCTAATCCTTGCTATCAAAATGCTATGATGATCGACTTAGCAATGTCATTAGTAATCAGCATTTATTGTACAACTATACATGTATAAAGGTGGTTTGTATGCCCTCTTTCAGTGGACAGAACACTGTCTCCTGCGCAGTTTAATAAACCTGGGTCAAGCAGATCATGTAGTTTCCATTTGTCAGTTGGGTCTTGGGGAATTTTTCCCTACACATCCCTCTATCTACTCTCTCCATCCTTTCCCCAACTTGCCCATTTCTAAGGCAGCAACTTTTAAAATCTCTAAAGTGCAATTCCTTTGTGTGAAGCAAAAACAGTCCTTCACTTTGCTTTGCTCCTATCACAAACTCTGCCATGAATTGCCTGCTTTGCCCCATGCCACCCATACATCCCTTCTCTCTATTCCAACTCTTGATTTCATCTGCCCCCCCCCCCCCCCCTCGCCTTCGTGTATTGCAAGGTTGATGCCTGAACTATCAGCCAGTTTGCTCATGAGCTAGCCTCCCCTCCCCCAGCCCATCTCTCATGGTTTGCATCTTCCCACCCGGAGTCCTCAATGCTCTAGGGTAGTGTTGTCCAAACTGGCTGGGGAATTCTGGGAGTTGAAGTCCACTCATCTTAAAGTGGCCAAGTTTGGACAACACTGCTCTAGGGCAATCTAGAATGATCTGAGCTGCAAAATTCCAGACAACCACTAGAGGGCAGTAAAGATAGACACAGAAGGGTTACTTTTTTGCTGCCATCTAGGATTATATTTTTGTGGCCAGTCTTGTTACTCTATAGCAGGGTTTTTCAAACTTGGCAATTTTCAGCTGTGTGGCCTTCAGCTCCCCAAATTCCCCAGCCAACATGCTGGGAGTAGAAGGCCACACATCTGAAAGTTGCCAAGTTTGAAAAACCCTGCTCGACTGTGAACTCTGTATCCCATAATCCATCTCTAGCACAGTCCACATACCATCTCACGCGTTACATGCAATTCCCATCTACCTTTCCTGCATTAACCTCATGAGGAAGCCAGTCTCTTAGGTCTGAGTGCCTGATCCCAGACCTTCAAAACAACGTATTCTCAGTGTCTGCACTCCTCTGTTTCCTTGCTCTTTCTTTTCCCTTTCCTAGCAGTTCTCCTGTACATTTTGGTCTGTGGTACCTATGGTATATTTCCTCCCCACCACCAACTCTTGGCACTCTTCTTACCTGGTGATCTTTGCCTCCATTATCTTGCATCCTTTGCTTCTTACTGGAGTTGTCCAGTATCTGATCCAGGAAGGAGCCTGCTTTTTAGGCTATTGGAGAGCGCGGCTTTGAGAAAAATCAGGGGAACCCAGGAACTAGCAACTATAGATTTCTTTCTGCCTCTTATTCCTCTTCCTCATCACTTGTTTCTTGCACTTTGTGGTCTGAAAAAGCCAACATGGGTCTCTTAACAAGCTGACGTCCAAGAGCACTGGATCGGTTCCTCTTTTGGGTGCCCTTCATGTATTAAATCCTACAGGCATCCGAAACGCTCTCCTGTAAATCTCGCTGCTTTGAGGCATTCTGCTTCTTTTTGTTTCGTTTTTTTGTTTTTTGTTTTGCTTCCCCTCTTACCACTGATGGTTTCCTTTCCGCAGGAAGAAAGGTGTGCTCAAGAAACTATTGTACTCTTTCAGTGGCAAACCTCCTACTGCTGAAGGGAGGTTGATAAAGAATCTCAGTTAAGTCATGTGATCCTTTGCACTCTGTTTGCAGAACAATGTTGACAAAGGCAGACGCAGGTTGACTTGCTGGAACACAGAACTCTAAGACGTTTGCCGGAAAGGGAGTAGATGGCTCGCTGTACTTTACTACATAATTAGTTGTTTCAATACCATTGTGAATAGTTACTATTAATAACTGAATTATCACTCTTTATGCTTCAGTATTTCATTTCCCTCTGGTATAATTGTCCACAACTGCCACAGACAAACCAATTCTGTGTGTAGATACTTGTATCTCTGGTTTATATCTCATGTATCTGATGCAACGGACTGCAGTAAGGAATGCTTATAGCATAATAAATGTGTTAGCTCTGGGGGCAGAGACGCAATGTGGAAACCCAGCGATATTTGCAGTCTTGGGTATGGCCCCCAGAAACCTTCACATTTTTAATAAAATCGGGCTTGGTTTTTCTCCTGGAGTGTATGCTAACAGGGCAGAGCTAAGCATGACTCACAATCCAGAAAGGATTCTGTCCTGGACTATTTAAGATATCACAGAAATGTATTGAACCTGTTGGAACAGGTTAAAAGAAATTGCCTATGAACATGCACAACGTACTTTCCTTTTGCTGTGAAACCACCTTAACACTGGAATTAAGAAGAACAGAAATCCAGTTCACAGCACATGCATTTCAAATAGGTCTGAATATTGATGTTTTTAAGTAGAGATTTAGCCGGCTACTTCAGTTAATTAGAAACATTAATTTCAAAGTTACAGGTCTGTTACACCCATCATTTCTCTTTCTCTTTACTCTTTATTCACTGTTCTTTAACATACCCATTTTGGGGTTTTTATTGGTGAACTTTCTGCAAGTACAAAGTATTCAGAAAAGAAAAACAAATGGTTTAATTAGATTCATGTTCATCTGTATCTCTATAGAACAGGTGCATAGAGCTGTCAGCTTTACAATTATAACCCGTACTTGAATTAAGGATGGGAAAAAAGATGGATGCAGAATGTAGATTAAATCATCATCATAATAGCAATTTATAAGTTGCCTTTATGAAAGACATTCAAGAGAGTGTGTAACAGGAAATTTGAAAACACACAAGGTGAGTATTAAAAGCAACACAAAACAATATAAATCACTGAAATACACATAAAACACAAAACATGTTGCCAGATTTTCATTTTTCCCACAGCTTTTAATAGCAATAGTTAAGCAGGCTATCGCACAAAAAGATGCTCCTAGTTGCATAGTTTGCTAGGACTATGGGTATTGCAGACTACATTTAGAAATCTTTCACTATTTCTATATAGCACATGGCAAAAAAACTTCTTTTAACCATAAATCAGCAGAGCTACTGCTGAATCACCATCTGGACAAAAAGACGACTTTGGGATGTATGTATGGGAGGGAGAGAGAGTAAATTGTATTATAGATTAATGCATGATTTTAAAAAATATATTAAAAATAAGTCCCACTTGCATGACTTGTGCCAGATACATTATTGTAGTTAGTAAATCATGGTTTATATTATTGATGGAAGTCTAGCTAATTCTAGTTTCTTAATCAAGGAACTACCAAGGAGAAAACCATACCCCCATCAACACTGGCAGGGCAAGCTACTGTATATAAACAGGGAGCAAACCTCACACTCATTAGCACTGATGATGTTACCTAGTCGGGTAAAAAAGCGTCTGCAAGCAAACAACCAAGCTCAGGGAGCACCAAGGACTCCACAGTTCAACCCTGAGCTACGTATGTTCTCTGCTATTGGAATCTAATTTCTTAAGCAAACCACTGCTTAGGGAAAATGGGGGGACGCACCTTGTGTCTCTGTGAGCACGATCACAGCTGATGACTTGGTCAATAAGATGCTCTCTTTGAACAATTACCAAACAATAGCACAGACCAAGTTAACAAGAAACAATCCTCCATTAATTTTAATGAGTTGCTGCCTGAATTTAATGAATCAAAACAAAATATATAGATGCTAGAATTAAGCTAGGCAATTATGAGTCCATCACAAAGCTTGCTCTGGACATTAGCTAATACGCTTTGATCAGCGGTGTGGTGGACCATTCATTCCTGAGAATGAGATGAAAAAGGGGTACGCATTTTCTTGGATTTCACACTGATCCAATTAAATAATTCAGAATAACTTCTAAATGTTAGCAACCAACACACTTACTGATCTTTACGATGAGAAATATACACAGTGGGATCTGATTCCTCTGTTTAGCCTGAGTATCAAGATGAAAATACATGCAGCTGGATAATTTACATTTTTTCCCCTATAGCTGTCTTTAAAAGATCTTATAGTGGACATATTGTACTTAAATGTAATTTAAATGTTTTCCTACACCAAGGATTTTCACTCATTAAAACCATTACATTCCAGTGCTCTATCTCTTAAATATTCTGACATGTTTGAATACTGACCACTGAAATGATAGTTTTGAATCTGCAGAGGATTAGAATGAATCCCCAAATAAAACTTGCACTACTGTACTAAGTTTAATTTCTGCTTAACAGTTATAAACCTTGCCTCTATAAAGATAGCATGTCAGACTGAATATACCATTAAGTCTTGCTGAACAAGTTTAATCTGATTCTTCATACATGCTTTTTTTTCAAAATGTGGAAATAATTATACTATCGGAGCAGCTTTGATCTGTCTAGGTATATAGCACACCTATTAAAACACCCTATAATTATTCCCTCTTATATTTCAATGATACCACCATTAAGTAATAACACACCATTTCGAAATATCGGTGGACACAATTGGAAAAACCTAAC